AGGAGGACGGGGCAGGGAAAGCCTGCGGATGACCGCTCTGAGGCTGGGTGTGTGTTAGCACCATGAGAGCCGCAGCGAGAGGATGGATGACAGACTGAGGCCAGACCAGGGTTCGGGGAACTCAGAGATGAAGACCTACTAGGAACAGCCTGTGTTGGGGCTGGCTTGTGGCTTTGCTCCCCTCCAGGGAGCAAACTAAAGCTAGAGACGGGTGTGCAGCTAATGTTAGCAACTGACGCTCAAAAAGAAAAAAATTTTTAAAAGCCCTGCTTCGTAGTGTTTGCTGATTTCCATGGTAAATACCCCTATAATGGCTGCTTGCAAGCTGCCCACATGTTATCACTGAACTTGGAGTTGGGAAGAGACGTGCGGCAGCAAATATTATCTAGTTTATCTCCACCATACTGATAAACAATCTCAAGAGCAAAGATAATAGTAAGTGTAGTAAAAAATATCGAGAAGTGATTTTTTTGAGTATTTATTGCCTTGACTTGTAATGTAATATATTTCATGGTAGTTTATATGATTTAATTTTTATTGATATTTATTTTTGGTTGTGCTGGGTCTTCACTGCTGCCCGGGCTTTCTCTAGTTGCCACAAGCGGGCACTTCTCTAATTTCGATAAGCAGCTTCTTATTGCAATGACTTCTCTTGTTGTGGAGCACAGGCTCTAGAGCTCAAAAGACTTAGTAGTTGTGGCTCATGGGCTTAGTTGCCCTATGGCACGTGGAATCTTCCCCGACCAGGGATTGAACCATGTCCCCTGCATTGGCAGGTGGATTCTTAACCACTGGACCACCAGGGAAGTCCTGGTTTAATTGTTAATTGTTGCTGTCTAACAACTGGCTGGCAGACTTCCTGGACTTCCCCGCTGGCTCTGGTGAGGATGGGAGCTGGCTCCAGCACACCACTGATGGACGGCCTTGGCCCAGGGAACGGCTGTCCGGGGGGCTGGGGGCTGATGGGATTGGTGGGTCTCTCTGTTCTCCCCAGGCGGATGTTCCCATTCCTGTCATTTACTGTGGCTGGGCTGGAGCCCACCAGCCATTACCGGATGTTTGTGGACGTGGTCTTGGTGGACCAGCACCACTGGCGGTATCAGAGCGGCAAGTGGGTGCAGTGTGGAAAGGCTGAGGGCAGCATGCCAGGTACGTGCCTCCTTGGGAACCGGGGGCATGATTTTTCTCTAAGACTGTGCGCCCCCTGGTGGATCCAAGAGGAACTCCCCCCAACCCCCAGTCTCTGACTCCTAGGATTTAATTCTCTAGTTCCACCCCACCCCATCCACTCCACCCCACTCCATCCCTTCCCCTCCCACGTCTCACTTTCATTCTGTTTGTCATCTCTTCTACTTTGCTCTATCCTGTCCTCAGCTTGGCCCTCTGCCCGCACCTCCCCCATCCTGCCCTGTCTGTCCTCCCCCTCCATCCTTCTTGCCGTGCCCCTCGGAACAGGCAAAGGAAGCCACCAGGGGCCTGGTCCCAGGGGCTGCATGCCAAAAAGATTAACTGTCCACAGGGAACCGCCTGTACGTCCATCCAGATTCCCCCAACACCGGAGCCCACTGGATGCGCCAGGAGGTGTCATTCGGGAAACTGAAGCTCACGAACAACAAGGGGGCTTCCAATAATGTGACCCAGGTGGGACGCCTCCCCTTGGGAAAGCCCCCATCTTTCCCTGTCCCTGAGGCCACAGTGCGTCCTGCAGGCTGATTCTGTTCTGTAAGAGCGACTTGTCTCCCTCTCAGACTCTGGTTCTTTTCCACCCACCTTGAGAGGAAGCTGACTCTCAAGGCAGATGGGGGTCACATTCAGGTCAATGTGGACCAACCCAGCCTGGGGGTTGGTATCGAGTCAGTACTGGTGGTCCTAGGAAGTGGATGCAGAGTTTCTTTGAATTGAGCAAGCCTATTAAAAGTGCCCTTGGTGCCCTGAGGAGGTTCAGGACTGAGGTTGGAGGCTCGGGAGAAGTTCCATGTTGGCAGGGCAGAAGAATGGTCACGATGACTTCAGGGCCCTTTGTAGCCTGGCCGTAGAGGGGGGGAGGGGAGGGCTCCTTTGCACTCCCTCCGCCCACGCTCACGGCCGTCTCGCCCCCTCTCAGATGATCGTGCTTCAGTCCCTCCATAAATACCAGCCCCGGCTGCACATTGTCAGAGTCAGCGATGGAGAGCCGGAAGCGGCCTGCAACACACACATCTTCACTTTCCAAGAAACCCAGTTCATCGCCGTGACCGCCTACCAGAACGCCGAGGTGAGGGCTGCCTGGGCGAGGGTGGGCTGAGCCTGGGCGGGTGGGGTGGGAAGAAGGGGAGAGCAGAGCCCCTCAACTTCTTGGGAGTGAATTTGGAGGTTCCCCAGCCTCAGACTCGTCACTCAGATGACTCTGTTTCCCTTCTCTCTAGATTACTCAGCTGAAAATTGATAATAACCCTTTTGCCAAAGGATTCCGGGAGAACTTTGAGTCGTAAGTGCCCCTGGCTTCAGCTCGTGTTGGCAGAGGCCCTCCTTGTCTGTCTGGGACTGGGACTCCAGACAAGTGCCCAGTCCCCTCTCTGCCTCTGCGGTGGGGAAGTGTGCAGTGGGTGCCAAAGGGCAGCGGGCAGGTCAGGAAGGAGTTATGGGGAGGGCTGTGGTGCAGGCAGGCTCCTAACTGACCAGTTCTATTCATGACCCCTGTCTTTTGCCCCCGTTTCTTTTTTTTTAAAAGCATATATGCATCTGTTGACGCCAGCGTCCCCTCCCCGCCTGGACCCAACTGTCAACTGCTTGGTGGAGACCACTATTCTCCTCTCCTCCCCAACCAGTATCCCGTCTCCAGCCGTTTCTACCCCGACCTTCCCGGCCAGGCCAAGGATGTGGTTCCCCAGCCTTACTGGCTGGGAGCCCCCCGGGACCACAGCTATGAGGCCGAGTTTCGCGCTGTCAGCATGAAGCCTGCATTCCTGCCCTCCGCGCCTGGGCCCACCATGTCCTACTACCGAAGCCAGGAAGTCCTGGCGCCTGGAGCGGGCTGGCCTGTGGCCCCCCAGTACCCTCCCAAGGTGGGCCCAGCCAACTGGTTCCGCTCCATGCGAACTCTGCCCATGGAACCTGGCCCTGGAGCCTCAGAGGGGCGGGGGCCAGAGGAGCAGGGCTCCCCCTCCCTGTGGACTGAGATCACCCCACTCCGGCCAGAGTCCAGCGACTCAGGACTGGGCGAAGGAGACTCTAAGAGGAGGCGTGTGTCCCCCTATCCTTCCAGCGGTGACAGCTCCTCCCCTGCGGGGGCCCCTTCTCCTTTCGATAAGGAAACTGAAGGCCAGTTTTATAACTATTTTCCCAATTGAACAGATGACGTGAAAGGAACAGGAAGAGTGTCGTTAGGTTGGTGACTCCAACCGTACCACAAACTCAGGACTGAGCCGTCCCCAGCTTCTTCTGTCCTGTCTCCTTTTGTAGTTGGTTGAGGAAGAGGGGGGCCAAGAAGGATTCTGAGGTTCACTTGCTGTCTCCTGGCCCACCGGGAAACCCGCAAGGACTGTCCTCTGCCCCTTCCCCTGCCCCAACTACAGTCATATACCTGGTGCTGCTTCTAGCTGTGGGCTCCCAGCTGGAGAACATAAAACGGACCATGGAAGGTCTGGGACACAAAAGAGCTTCCTCTCTTCTACAGGCTGGGGTGGGGGGGATCAGGGTCAGGTGGGATGGCCTGGCTGGAGACTCAGATCTCTTCCTCTGTAGAGTAACTGTCAACATTTTCATTTGCGTGTGTGTTAATCCCTGATCTGAAAATAAAGACATGTGGATTTTCTAAGTCAGCCAGCAAGGGCCAGGGAGAGGACCCCAGTGACTTTGAACAACTGGCCTGGGCCCCACCCTCTTAGACACAGTGGAGTCCCGAGGAAGGGGCTGGCAAGGGTGTGGGGCTTGTGCATGACTCAAGAAGCAAAGTGTTGAGATTTTCCAAGTGACTCAGTGGTGAAGAAGCTGCCTGCCAATCGGAAGGCACAGGTTTAATCCCTGGTCCAGGAAGATCCCACATGCCATGGAGCAACTAAGCCCGTGCACCACGACTACTGAGCCTGTGCTCTGGAGCCCGGGAGCTGCAACTACTGAGCCCACGTGCCTCAACTACTGAAGCCAGCGAGCCCTAGAGCCTGTGCTCTCCAACAAAAGACGCCTTCTCAATGAGAAACCCACGTACCACAGCTAGAGAGTAGCCCTCCAAGTAGAGAAAAGCTCCACACAGCATTGAAGACCCAGGACAGCCAAAAATAAATAAATAAAATAATTTTTTTTTTTTAAAAGAAGCACTGTCTTGCCCAGGGAACAGGGGATGGTGTGTGAGGATACGTTTTTCTTTTTGGGGAACAGGGGAGGCTATTTATTGTACAGAGAGTGGTGTCCAGATATATTACTTTTGTCTTCATCACTTTCTGGAAATAAACACAAAACTGTCAAGCGTGTCCTGCTTTGGTACCTGGGTGGGGGACACAGGCGGGGACTCTCCTGGGAACTGCAGCTGTACCCAAACTGTTCTCTCTGCTCTAGAACAGAATTTGAAGTTCCGAAGACCCTCCTAGAAACTAGAGGTGATTTCATTCAGGGGATAAACTGGATTAGAGCAATTCTACGTGTCCTGCCTTGGTGCTCAGGTTGATGGCTGATGCCACCTCTTAAGGTATCTTGGGATACCCTGATTGTAGAGCAGGGTGTGAGGGCAAGACCAGAGGATGGGGGCTCTGCAGAAAAAGATGACACTTGATTTTTCTGTGCATTTCTGGCAGCTTGGGATCGCCAACTTCATCTTGGGGTTGTTCAAAGATTAAAGGAGTAAATGTAAATAGGACCATATGAAATTGCTCTTTTCGTAGGTCAAGAACAGCCAAATGTTGGCAGTTTCATTTGATCCAATCGTATATGTAATGAGCTTAGAACGGTGCCAGAAAAACAGTAAGCCCTCAGGGTGTAAACTATTGTCATTGTCAATATTATCATTCTCTGGCTGTTTCTCTCTCTCCTTGCACACATACTGAATTGTGGTTGTAAAATGATACATGCTTCTTTTAAAGAATTAAAATGTTGTGGAAAAGTATGAAGACAACAATAAATTATCTTAAATCTTACCACCCATCAGTAATTAGCATTAACAATAGGTGGATTGGATAGACAGAAATATATTTATGACATGGGAATCATACTGAAAATGCTTTTTTTCTTAATGAAAGCTATTGAATTTTCATTAACAGAAGCTAATGATAATGATAATAACAACCCACGAAGCAAACCATCAAGACCCCCCAAACTCTCAAATGAGTGAAGAGAATTGCTGAACCCAAAATAAATCTTCCTTCAAGATGAGAAATAGTTCCTGAAAGAGCATGCAAAGATTAAAAAAGGAGCTTATGGGAAACAGTAAAAGGTCAGAGTTACTATGTTTGCCTCACGCCAGTCCAGAGTATACCCCATTCTAATGTGGGAACAATGTTACAGGCTTTGGGGTGTTGTTCTAGTTCTGCTTAGAGCCTGGACAATTTTGCTTATATTTCATAGTTCACATTGACTCTTTTACTGGTCTCTGCCCAGAGGAAATTTTCATCACCATCTAGTCAGAAGAAGGAAAAGATAAGGAGACAGTCATATACTTGGTTCCATCTTCTTTGAATTTAGAAGTTCATCTTTTTAAAATGACATGAGGAAGTCAGCCATGTTGTGCTCTGTGAATATAGATTAATTCTCCACTTGCCCTACCCCTTGGCTCTCACTCTTTGGAGTTAATGATACTAAGTTGAGCTTATTTCTTTTCTTGGGAACTCTGGTGGGTAATTACAATACTTTTCTCCCTCACTATTTTTAAATGGTTTTGGTTTACTTCATTAGATATGAAGTGAAAGGAGTTGTGATCAAGTCATGCTCTTCTATCTTCTAGAAGTCTGGTTACAGATGTTTTGATGCTTTGTTATTTGACTCACAAAAGTTCACTACTAGTATTTCTTTACCGTTACATGAACCTTCCCAAATACTATATATTTTCCAAAATGTATTTATTTATTTTACTGAATATATATGAATCCATATACACAGAGTTTTTAGTCAATGTAATGCGTTTTACCTTAAAATTATACAGTCTGACTGCCCTGGTGGTCCAGTGGTTAAGACTCCACACTTCCAATGCAGGGGACTTGGGTTCAATACCTGGTTGGGGAACTAAGACCCCCACATGCCATGCAAGATATATGAGAGTTGGACGTGACTGAGGACACACATACACACATATATATGGTGGTGGTAGTTAGGCCCTAAGTTGTATCCAACTTCTTGAGACCCCAAGGACTGTAGCCCACCAGGCTCCTCTGTCCATGGGATTTCCCAGGCAAGAATACTGGAGTGGGTTGCCATTTCCTTCTCCAGGGGATCTTACTGAGCCTGGGATCAAACTCACATCTCCTGTGTCTCCTGCTTGGCAGGCACATTCTTTACCACAGCACCACCTGGGAAGCCCTATGTATATTGTTGTTGAGTCACTAAGTCGTGTTTGACTCTTTGTGACCCCATGACCTGCAGCACCCCAGGCTCCCCTGTCCTTCACTATCTCCCAAAGTTTCCTCAAATTCATGCCCACTGAGTCAGTGATGCTATCTAACCATCTCACCCTCTGCAGCCCTCTTCTCCTTTTGCCATCAGTGAGTCAGCTCTTCGCATCAGGTGGCCAAAGTATTGGAGCTTCAGCTTCAGCATCAGTCCTTCCAATGAATATTCAGGATTTATTTCCTAAGATTGACTGATTTGATTTCCTTGCAGTCCAAGGGACTCTCAAGAATCTTTTCCAGCACCACAGTTCAAAAGCATCAATTATTTGGTGCTCAGCTTTCTCTATGGCCCAACTCTCACATCCATATGTGATTCCTGGAAAAACCATAGCTTTGACTATACAGACCTTTCATCGACAAAGTGATGTCTTTGTTTTTTAATATACTCTAAGTATGTCATAGCTTTTCTTCCAAGGAAATCTTTTAATTTCATGGCTTCAATCACTGTCCGCGGTGATTTTGAAGCTCAATAAAACAAAATCTGTCACTGCTTCCACTTTTCCCCTTCTATTTGCATGAAGTGATGGGCTCAGATGCCATGATAACCAGCTTTTTCATTCTCCTCTTTCATCCTCATCAAGAGGCTCTTCAGTTCATCTTTACTTTCTGCCATTAGAGTGATATCATCTGTATATCTGAGGTTGTTGATATTTCTCCCAGCAATCTTTATTCCAGTTTGTGATTCATCTAGCCCAGCATTTCACATGATATATATATATATATATATGCATGTGTGCTAAGTCGCTTCAGTCATGTCCAACTCTATGCAACGCTATGGACTGTAGCCCACCAGGCTTCTTTGTCCATGGGATTCTCCAGGCACGAATACTGGAATGGATTGCCACGCCCTCCTCCAGGGGATCTTTCCAACCCAGGGATGGAACCCTCATCTCCTGCATTGACAGGCAGGTTCTTTACCACTAGCGCCACCTGGGAAGCCTCTATGAATTTGCTAATTTTTGTTTTGTTTTTATTTGACTTCATCTAAAGTTTTTTTAGTTGATAATGTTTTAGTTTCATTTTTGTTGTAGTTTTGTCTGTCTTAAGCAGCAAACTAACAAATTTTAAAGTAATCTTTTTATAATTTTGTTTAAAAATTTTGTTTATTTATTTTTGGCTATGCTGGATCTTCATTGCTGCGTTGGACTTTCTCTAGTTGGGGTGCGCGGGGCCTGCTCTGTAGTTGCAGTTTAAGGGCTTCTCATTGTAGTAGCCTCTTTCGTTGCAGAGTGCAGGCTCTAAGGCCTGTGCGCTTCTATAGTGTGGCTCCCAGGCTTTAGAGAATAGGCTCAGTAGTTGTGGCCCACGGGCTTAGTCGCTCTGAGGCATATAGGATCTTCCTGAATCAGGGATCCAATCCATGTCTCCTGCATTAACAAGCAGATTCTTCACCACCGAGCCACCAGGGAAGCCTATAAAACCAAATTTTAGGACTCAAAATATTTTCTATTTATTCATAAATATAATGATCACATTAACTGACCACACAACTTAAGGACTAAAACATTAATAACATCATAGCTAGCATTATAGATAACCAGAACCTTGAATTTTGGGCTTCCCTGGTGGCTCAGTGGTAAAGAATCTGCCTGCAATGCAGGAGACCTGGGTTCAATCCCTGGGTTGGGAAGATCCCATGGAGGAGGGCATGGAAACCCAGTCTAGTACTCTTGCCTGAAGAATCCCATGGACAGAGGAGCCTGGAGGGCTATAGTACATAGGGTTGCACAGAGTTGGACACAACTGAAGCGACTAAGCAGCTAGCAGCAACCTTGAATTTTGTGTTCATCCTTTTCTTGCTTTTTAAAATTAACACTTTGTATATCTAATTATTATGTTATTTAGCTTTTTGTTGTTTTGAACTTTATAATATGTATATATCTTTATATAATCTTTCTATTCAAGAACATGGAATATTTCTTCCTTCCTTTATTTATTTATTTAAAGTTTTTTTGGTCATGCTACGGGACAAGTGGGATCTTAGTTCCTCAACCAGGGATCAAACCCTTGCCTTCTCCAGTGGAAGCGCAAAGTCTTAGCCAGCGGACTGCCAGAAAAGTCCCTCTTTGTTTATTTAGGTCATCATTAAGATCTCTCTCTCCGTAAAGCTTATTAATTTCTAAGTATAGATTTGAATATCTTTTATTAGACTTAGTCTTAGGTATTAAGTTTTATTTCTCTGTAAAAGGCATCTTTTAAAAATATGTATTTCCTAATTGTTACTGGTGTGTAGAATTATAATTAATTTTTGTATGCTGATCATAAGATCCAGCCATCTTGCTAAGCTCATTATATTTTAGTGGTTTGCTATGAATTCATTACTTTCTTTATGGGAAACCTGGTTATTTCAAATAATGAGAATGTTATTTCCTCCTTCTAAATCATTATCCTTCTAATTTTTTCTTCTTATCCTATTGTACCGGCCAGAACTACAAATGCTAGTTCCTTGCCTTCAGGAGAATGATTTCCCCCTATTTATTTCACTTTTCCCCTTAATGCTGGTTTGGTATTTCTGTAACTTAGTTCTCTCATTTTAATGCTATCTCTAGACATTTTAGATGCACATTTAATCTAACAACTTAGTGTTGAATGATATTCTGCCCTCCATTCTGGTCAATAAAACAGTTTTAGATCACCTTGCTGTTGTTCAGTCTGAGTCATGTCTGAGTCTTTGTGAAAGTCGCTCAGTCATGTCTGACTCTGTGACCCCATGGACTGTAGCCTGCAAGCCTCCTCTTTCCACGGAATTCTCCAGGCAAGAGTACTGGAGTAGGTAGCTATTCCCTTCGCCAGGGAATCTTCCCAACCCAGGGATTGAACCCAGGTCTCCTGCATTGCAGACAGATTCTTTACTGTCTGAGCCACAAGGAAATACTGGTGTGGGTAGCCTCTCTTCTCCAGGGGATCTCCCCAGCCCAGGAATCAAACCAGGGTCTCCTGCATTGCAGGCAGAATCTTTACCAACTGACCTACCAGGGAAGCCCGACTCTTTGCCACCCCATAAACTGCAGGACGCCAAGCTTCTCTGTCCTTAACTATTTCCCGGAGTTTGCTCAAACTCATGTTTAGATCACTTTAGCTCTGCTCTTACCCCTCTGATTCGCTATTGCTTTTGCCCCCCAACTTACTGATTTTGAACATTTCAGTTGTGTAGTTTTTCATTCCCCGCAGATTAGACTCCTGTATTATTTTACCGAGACAGTATTTGTTTCGGCTTACTTTCATGTTACTATTTATTTTGTTCATTTTTCCTTTTAGTGTTTCTACCTTTTTCTGGAATTATTTTCCCACTTCTTGAGCTAAATCCTTTATATGTTCTTTTAGAGAGAGTCTCTTTGTAAACTCCACATGTGCTTGTTTCTTATAA